TTGATGCTTGTAATTCATGTTATACCGATAGTTACCCTGTATCGTATGCATCTTCTGGTCCATGTCCATGTAGATACGACAATGTAACTTCATTTGCTTATCAATGTAACCACTCTGTATCCCTGAGTGATTCAGGTTGTCTGCATGACCTAATTTCTTGTTATAACCCAAAAAAATGTACATGCTAAAAAAAACAAACGCTTTGTAAATGCGTAAAAATGTGCAAAACTGCACTAACCACTGTAGATGGTACGCTTAAACAAAACGTGCCATACGGTATGCATGGAAACACTGACGCCTAGGTGTAACAGGAGACTTACGGTCTGCAATTTTATTTATTCTATAATACAGGATTTAGAAAGGTTGATCCACTGGGTGCCAAATCACTTGTAATAAAGCTTAGATGTAACATAATAGTTTCCAAAGTATTCATTTTTGTATTTCAAGGTTTTAATCCCAAAGTTGTTTCATTAAATTATTTTGGTGTCCCTGAAAATGTTTTATTGTCAAGGGGTGTCTGGAAATAATAAATCTAGGTTTATAACCTCCAGTTTTGTGGAATGCATCAGGCAGACATGAATTGCAAAAATTATATGCACACACATTTTTCTTCCTGGGTGATAAGCATATATGCTCCCAGTGATTATAAATGTGATGTTGCAGAATTTTATGTGGAAAAGAAAAAAAACCAATCTTGTCAGGACTGCAATACCTGGAAGTTTTCAGAGACATTTTATTAATCAATTCCATAGGTTATTGTTGCTTAAAATTCAGTTTCATGGTTCTCTATCACTGTCTGTGTACAGCCTTATTCTTTTATAGAGGTAACTTTAATTGTTATGGTTGTAAAGCCTAGTACATATTTGCTGCAGCATGACTGGTCATCAACTTGCAGATACCTCAACAAGATAACGTGCAGTAAAATATCTGTCTGTCCTCAAAAACATTGTAAGAAAGATATTTTGGTGAACCACAAAACAGACCTACATTCATTTATTCTGGCCACAACTGGCCGTTCATTGATATAGCGATCAATCTGATCGACCCTCCCTAGGGGTGGTAATCTTGGACGCTTTACATTCAATTACCGCTGAAGCATTTCCTACACTCATATGAGAACTGTATTAATAACCTCCTTAACCATGGTAGCTCTGGTTATATAATTTACGCTATTCTATTGTTTGTTATGTATATCTCTAAATTTTACACTATGTTCTACATTTTACTGTATTCCGTGATGAGCTTTAGTCTTGCTTTATGGGACTTGTCCACTATGTGATCAAATGGATTACCTAGATACATCTCAACCATTGCAATGGACAGCCCAAAAATTCACTCTGTGATACATGACTATGTTTTATTAATGCACCTGTAACTATGCTTAAATTCTTTCAGTAAAAGATATTGCTAAAAAAAACAAAAAACATTGTAATGGGGAAGGCCAGTGACATATTGCAACCAATACATAACTCTAATTTAATTTGTTGCTGCAAATTTTTGCCCTTTTCCCAGGTTACTGCTATTTGCACTACATTATTAAACGACCTTGAGAAAAAGAAAGTGGCTCACATAGAAAACATTGTGCATAAGGCATTGCATACCAGATTGGAAACGTTTAAATACAATATTTGGGTATTCACATTTTTCCAATGTCCTCGAGTTATTTTATTTAACTGGCTACTAAATTGTAAGTCCAGAGAGAAAAAAAAATAGTTGGTGTGTAGTTTTAGCTGTTGCTTGAGAACTATTCCTGTAGTAATTATGATAAAATGATCACAAGTTGTTGACTAATTACCTGTGTTGAAGTCAACAATTGCTTGTGTGCTTGACATTTTCTGTAGTAATGTAGATGACACTTCAGATGTATTCATTTTTTAATTCTGCAAAATTGAGTATTCAAGTACAGTTTTCTAATTACTGCTAAATATATAGTTTGTAATTTGTTTTAATGATGTGAAAGGACTGACTACCAATCTTTAGTTTTTAAATCAGACTTGCAGGTTTAATTTCTACTACAATTGTGTATTTAACTATAATTGTATGATTGTTCACTTAACAAGCTTTGATATAGTTGATAAACATGAGGTGAAAATAGATCATACAGAATTTTCCAGCCCATCCAACTGGTTCTCAGGTTCTCCTCTATGCAAGGTCAAGAGAGAGAGGGGGAGATCGAGAGAGAGAGAGAGAGGGGGGAGATTGAGAGAGAGGGATCGAGAGAAAGATCGAGAGACTAAGACTCTCTTTTAGGGCCCTATTCACATGTGTGTGTTGTTGGCAGCATTTTAAATGTTTACCAAGACATTTAGGATAAGAATACTTCAGCTTTTATGTTTGTTGCCAACCTAGCTTTGTTTAAATATTTTATGTTATTCACTTAAGAAAAAAGTGGATAAGGTGCATCTGTAAAATAAGACAGTGCGCAAAAACGAAAAGCAGCTGTATAAGTAAACTGCAGTGTTTTTCTCAAAAATATTTAAAAAATCAAAAATATTTATTAACTTTTATCAAATAAACATACAAAATTAAGAAAGATAGAACAGTAAAACCATATAGAAGAGAAAGGGGAACAACAGAAAGCTAAGAATAAACAAAGAAGCCAAAAGAAAGGATAAAGTAAAGAAAAGGGGAAGAGGGAAAAGAAAGATTGGTCAAGGGATCACATACTACTGTTTCAAGACAAAAAGGAAGAGATGATTTGTGTCAGAATTCAAGAAGCTATCAATATTAGGCGTAAGGAAGTTACAGACCCATGGTTCCCAAACCTTGTGGAATTTGGGCATAATTTCTTGCAATTTAGCCTTAAGTTTCTCATTAACCAAGACCTATTGTAGTCTTTTTTTATCCCATGGAAAGCACAATGTATCTGAGAGCCAAGCTCCTGCAGTCACCTGTTTCGTGGCTGTCAGTACGTGTGTCATTGAGGCGAATTAATGCTTAATAAGATTAGGAAGTCATAAATTTAGCAAAGCATCACAAGGATTCATGGGCAACAGTTGTTGAAAGAGAGTATACAATATATTGTACACTTGGGACCACTGTTGCTAAGCAACCGGGCGGGACCACCAAATATGGTAAAAATCACGCTGTGCCTGTCATCCACAAAAACAGTTAATGGTAGTTAAACAAGTGTGGAGAAAGGGGAGCATTAAAGAGATATTAAGAAATTTGGTTTAGCAGAGTTAACCACAAGGCCAGATAGGTCCCCGAAACATGACAGAAGGTTTTGCAAATTAGGGAGGAAGGTAAGGGGCTAAGTGAGTGTGAACAACACATTATCGGCAAATCAGCTTAACTTAAGATGATGACAAGCCAGCGATGTTGGATGATAAGGGGCTCTATTGCAAGGGCAGATAACAGGGGAAGTGGGCAACCCTACCGGGTACCCATGAGATAGGGAAAGGGAGCGAGTAAAATCCTGTGTAACAAACAGAGGCAAAGGGAGAATTATATAATGCAAGGGCTTTATCAGGAAAGGTTTGTTTGAGTTGCTGTAAACGAAAGGTGTTATTTCTTAAAAACAGAGGTGGTTTTAATACAATGGCCCCTCATAAGAGCTTCATGGGCCTGCCATAAGGTTAACATTGCAGGTGGACCTGAATAAAATAGGGGAGTGGGCAACTACATGGCAATAGAGGTTTAATGTCAAGAAATGTAAATTAATGCACTTTATACACATTAATGGGTACTCCATTAGGGAACTCAGAAATGAAATGGGGGTCATAAATGAATAATAGCTTGCAATGCCAGGCTGCGGCAAACAAAGCTGACAGAGTACTGTCTTGTATTAAAAAGGGAATGTACTATAGAGACAAAACAATAATGTTGCCACTTTATAGATCACCAGTTTGGCCTCATCTTGAATATGTGGTTCAGTTTTGGTCACCAGTCCACAGAAAAGATGTACTTTAGCTAGAGAAGAGCAACCAAGCTATTTAAGGGGCTGGAGGATCAGGACTACGAGACAAGGTTGCTAAATTTAAACTTGTTCACACTGGAAGTGAAGAGATTAAGAGGGGGGGATTTTGATGTACAAAATGTTCGGCGGTGACGTCAACATCGGCACTAAACATTTTACTGTAAACTCTGTAACATGGACTAGAGGCCACCACCTAAAATTGGTGGAAAAAATATTTATCCACAAAGGGCGTAGGGGCTTCTTTTCAGTTAGAGCTGTTAAATTTTGGAACTCTCGCCACAAGCAGTGGCATCTGCAAAGAACATTGATGCATTCAAAAATTAATTAGATACCATCATAAGAGACCGTGACATAGAGGGGTACAGGTATACTAAAATACTAGACCACACAGGGACTCTTATACACGGCATGCACGCACAAGAGACACACACACACAAACTTGTAGCTTATTCTGTTCCTTTCCTCTATTATAGGGCCATGTATGTTTTTAAGAAAACATTATCTATTCTAGACAAGCAGTAGAATTTAAAATAATTGTTCCATTCAGAGTCGAAAATTTTCTATGAATAAACTTCATAATTAAGTAAACCATATGGTCAGTGATTATGTATCAAATCTGTATGACACTGCTAGGTTCTGTGCAGAAATCAAAGCTAAGTGCTAGCTAAATTATAAATTCACAAATTGCTAACAAATCTGAATAATATTCATTAAATATGCAAACAAAAAGAAGCCAGTAACCTCTTCAGGATTCTTAGTGTGAAGAAGAAAAAAATGTTCACCCTTAACAAATGCTGTGCTTGTCTGGGGGCAATCTGCATAGAATTAACATTTTCCACTACTGAAGTATTGTGCTAGAATAGGTTTCCATGCTCTATCCAGAGAAATATGTGTGAAGAGGGTCATAATCTACTGTAAAACATTATCTTGGATGCTGCAAACATATTTAACTGTGTGCTTTCATTTAGTATCAGTGTACCTAACAGAAACAATAAAAGATCCTTGTTGGTTATTATGATTATGGTGCTCAGATATAGAATATCATTTCATTTTTAAAATATACTTTTTGCTACTGTTTTAGGTGGAATCCACACAGAGTATGATAAGAATCCTGGGCCTATCTGCAACTCTTCCAAACTACCTCGATGTGGCTTCATTTCTTCATGTCAATCCATATATTGGCCTTTTCTACTTTGATGGACGATTCCGACCTGTTCCTCTTGGACAGACGTTTATTGGAATAAAGTCAACCAACAAGGCAAGTATAAATGTTATCTAAACACTGAAAGGCTAATTTAGCTAAAAATCATTTTGTGTTAATTACTGTGTCGGTGTACTCCAGATGCTTCCAATATCATACCTTCTGCGTAAAGAAGCAATTATAGAATTCTTGCATAGTTTCCAACTCGCTCATTTCTTATTTTAGTCATGCCACACATAACACCACAGTGTCTAATATTTCTTAATACTTACACCTGTGTGTTACATTATTAAAGCTTATCTCTATTTATATAGAAACATTCTACTTGGCTTGCAAAAATATTCCCTTTTTTAAAACATATAGCATTTTTTAAATGTGCATTGGCCATTGAGTGCTTCAACACAATGGTATGCATTACTGCTCAATCAGACTATATTTTAAAAGACATATCATTTAGTTAAGAATATTATCTTACTACATGTATCTGTAACTATATTTAGCATTATATTGTGGACGATGGGGGCAGAGTTGGCAGAGCATGACCCTGCCAGAGAGCATAGTGTAGGTTGGGGAAGCTTCCATAGACTACAATATGTTCAATAGATTAGAGAGAGAGGACCGCACCAGGCTTGGGAGGGGGTTCCAGAGACCATATAGTAGGTGATGCCAGAGAATGTAGTACAGACAGTGAGGGAGAGAGCTGAGAGTGAACTTACTGCAGACATTGAGGGTTGAGGTGCAAAATTGGGCATGGGGAGTATTTAGCATTGTATACACTGTGTAAGGCAGGGGTAGCCAAACTCCGGCCCTCCAGCTGTGGTGAAACTAAGAATCCCATGATGCATCTCTCTCCGGGGGTCATGTCTGTGGCTGTGAGAATATTGCAATGCCTCATGGGATTTGTAGTTGCATCACAGCTGGAAGGCCGGAGTTTGGCTACTCCTGGTGTAAGGTATAATGTGAGGTGAGGTTGTAAGTAATGGTTGGTGCAAACCAAGTTCACCCAAGTATGCTGAAATCTGTTACTACCCAGTCAGTGTTAGCAGTTAGGCAGGAAATTCACCTATCTGCAAATGATTGGACCGAAAGGAAGGGATGGGGTAGAGGGTGGCAAGGGAGTCACAGTTTTGAGAGGACTTAGGAAAGCTCAGACAAACTGGGTTTGTACCAAAGCTCATCAGTAGTGATGATGATTATAGCAACACAATTGTGAATTGCTAGCACAGCGGCCCCCTGGGGTAATCTCTCCCCCTTAGGTAACATACATTTGTAACAGGGGTTTATGAGAGGTATACCACTACAACATTGATTGTTTGTATAAAAATATAATTTATTTTACATATAATGAATAATATAAAAAAAACATATATAATTTCCTTACACTACACCAAAGACAAAATCGTTAAAAAAGGAGCATAAGCCCATACAGCATCTTATATCCCCTTGTATCCAATATCATTTACTAATACTCAGTGTATAAATTCAGTGGGAAATCAGTATATCCAGTCCCAACGCGTGATGATGATGATTAGACTGTCTATACTGTAGCGTGGGGACTACAAAGTATGTGCTTTGACTGGGCTAATGGTCTGACCCAGGGGTTTGTCTGATTACTACTGAGACAGTTAATGGCCTTAACCTGCAGGCTAGTGGCCAGGGGCAGCCTGTGTTAGTTGTAGTGGGGCATTTGTTCCCTGACATAACAAATGAGACATTTAAAACACTTATTTTAATGCAGACAGGCAAATTTGTGTAAGAGTTTAGTTTTTCTTTAATATTTTTACTAATATTTTATTACTTTTTTTAGTGAGATTTTCTGTGTTTCTGTTTTTTTGGTTTCCCCCCCCCCCCCCCTTTTTATAAATTTAATTTTTGCAATCTCATTTTCAAAAAGTTAATCCAAGACTCATTTAGCCAATCAATGGATCAGCAAATGCAATATCGCACACACACACATTTCTTTTTAAATTGTGCAATTGGATGTAATTAATTTCCCCCCTCATTTTCTTTCATGAAGTATTGTTTTCTATATTCCTCCTTTCTTGCCTGTCACATACATATTGCAAATCTCATTAGTCTTGATATTATTACACATTCTCCTTCAAAACAACACTTCATGCTCTACATGTCAGCAGTTTCCTCTGTAATTTTAAGTATGCTTTTGCAGACAGTAAGCATTCTTATGTGTTAAGGGTTAAATAACCTTTTCATGTGTGTTTCTGTAAAGAGAGATGCCCGCTAACCGTAGGGAGTGGTTTCAAGTTTATACACAAAAGAATAGTTTGCCATATGGCACTTATTGCAGTGTGCATATTTTAACCTTCATTAATTGTATCAAGTATCTGTCTATAAAAACTGCCATTGCTTCTCCTTAATTATCCTTACAGATTGCAGTTTGGCTGCACATTTGAATTAAAATGAATAGGTTGATAAAGACATGCAGTTGTATGCCTAATTGTATCTTTGAAAGTTGACCTTGCTTTTTACAAGTTGTGCAATGACATCCAAACTTGACCATACTGTCCGCTATGAATTGGGATAGAGACCACATACATGTATTAGCCTAATTTAGTGCCTGAGATATATTTAAAATTAAATAGGCAGCCTTTTAATAATAAAGCCTGGCTTGTTTATGGCTTATTTTGTCATGCAAAATAAACATTGGTGTTGTGTACAGCTCTCCCCATGCCTTTTTGGTGTGACTCAACTGTGAACAAAAGGTGGGTAAAAATGGAATTTGGTCCATGTTTGGAGCATAGTAAAAAATGTTTGTTCAATGTCATGGTGAAGTCCCATGAGAATTAAATATCTACGTGATGGGTCTCGAATGAGTGGCAGCTGAAATTTATAGATTGTCTAAAGCCAATAAGGACCTCTCTACAATTGTGAGCTGTGTCAGCCATGTAAATATGGGGAGATTGGGCAAAAAAATATCTAGGAGATGAGAATCGTGAAAAGTGTATTTCTTGGAGAGACACAATATTCACATGCATGGTCCTAAAACAACTAAAAGCACAAGTGCATTTAGGTGGGCTAAGGGGTGACAACAGGTCAGATAGAGGGTATACAGCAAATAGAGCATCCACATGAGGTACGGAAGAGGGTTCCCTATCTGTATTGAGAGGAGTAGGATGAGTGAAAACCTGGTAGAAGTCAGTGGAAAAGTGGAAAACACTCATTGACTGTACACTATAGAGGAACAGCATTGTCTCCCTAGGTGCAGGAAGTGTGTTAGGACCACAGCACACTGCAATTGTGGCAGGATCAACAACTATGTTTGCACTTATTGAACACATATAACAAAATACGTAAAATGGTATAACTAGCAAACAAAAAAGGAGCACAAGAAGTTAATTGTTATGGCTTACATACACTTTAATCCAGACCTGTTGGTTCAGTTGTGTTTCTTTTTTTTTTTTTTCCACCCAGCTCTCTGATTTCAGAATCTCTCAAGATAGAAATATATGGGCTTTTTATTTGTTTTTATTTTAATTTTTTTAAGGTGCTAGCTTTAGGGCTGTCATTGTAAATATCAATTAGATACCATCCTAAGAGACTGTAACATACAGGGGTACAGGTACACTTAAATACCAGACCACACAGGGACTCTTATACACACGCACGCACGCACAACAGACACACACACAAAGGTTGAACTTGATGGACTTGTGTCTTTTTTTTTAATGTAACTATGTTATCCTAACTTCATGTAACGATCAGCCCAGGGGGAGCGGTAGGATCACAGCTGCGGTTTTAGCCTCACACCTGGTGTTAGATTGGCTCAGGTCGAGGGTTCACTTTCACACTCTGTATGGGTAGGAGTGATGGTGGAACCCTCTATCACATCATATGCCAAACACAGGAGATGAGAGTGGTGCCAATGTATACTTCGTGCAGGTATAGCTAGGTCACACAGATCTGGTAATCACCACTAGGTATTTATGCGAAGCCCTCTTATCCCTAGCAGTCCGCACTCAATGGGGTGCAGCGACACTATGTGTTTAATATACACGCTCTATGTCTCTATGCATGAAGTACAGACTAGAACAGGTAAGTCAATATGAATTATAAACAGAATGCAGGAAGCAATGTAGGATAACCCCTCTGCTGACACTTGTTTAGTATCACCTCTACTGAGGCAGGTTACTTGCGGTTGGGTGAAGGGTTAACTTCCACTGTAGGGCAACAGCTGAGCTGCAGGGGAGACTCCACGAGCTATGCGGCTTCCAGGTAGATCAGAGAGGCAAGGCAGGGTTTGCAGAGAAGGGTTCCAGTGTAATCCCCGATCGGTAGCAGAGGCTGTGAAGAGCTGTAGTTAGGGAGGTATTGATCTCAGAGTAGGAGGTTCAGGTGAGTTCTGTCGTAGGCGAGTTGCACTGGCTCGACGTTCGCAACACTAGAACGCCGAGCTACTGCAAGTCTCGTCATTTTAAGGAGGAGGAGATTCTGTTGGGGGAGGAGCCGAGAGCGCCGGCCGACGTCTCGGTCTCCTAGTGTCGTTACACCGCTGTGTGGGGAAGCCGGCCCGCGGCCCAAAACGACAGCCATGGGAGAATCTCTCACACTTTATTACTCAGCAAGTCAATGACCTGGGACCAATATGTACTGTACATATCAATTTTTGGGGTCAGTGACCCAAAAACTAGTGATGCAAGAAAAGAAATGGCAGCCTTGGAGCTTGCACCTACAAAAACAAGGCAGAAATCATAGCGCCCATATATGGTAATGTTTTTAGCTGAGTGCAAATAAAACAGGACACAAGTAAACAGTTTTGCAAAAGGTCGGGGCCCATTCACACCTATGCATTGTGGTTACCTTGCACATTACTGGAACACACCATGCATTAGAGCATTAGATTTAGTGCATTTATTTTCAACAGCACCCCAACACACAAAATTAATACTGTCCGACACACTTATGTTGCAGCGAACCACAGCACACCCTATGTTATTATTATTTGTTGTTGTGCCTTACATTGTAAAAAATGATCCATGCCCAATTTAAGTGTCTGTTGTAGTTCATTTGAAGACTAGCTAAATGAATGGACTACTTTGGTG